TGTGTGTGTGTGTGTGTGTGTGTGTGTGCAACACAAAGAGATAGATGGGTGTATTTTGTTTCACATTAAAACTGTTCCAAGTTCTTTCAATATTAACATAAAACAGACACAGACTGTGTTGACACATTTTCACAGTTCTTCTTCCACATTTGCATGTAGAATAGTATAAAAGAAACTTAGCACTTAGGAACACTAACTATGCAGAAAAACAGCATCATAAAATTGTTTCTAGAAATGTAAACATGACAGAAAGTATATAATCAAATACAACAAATGTGCAGTGAAAGGTTCAAGTGAGAACAAATATGGTGCCTGGTATCAGGTGGCCGGTCTCAACAATATCTTCCCTCAGTGTGACCGAAGTGTGGCAGCAGCGACTTGCACCTTTTTCTGTCTCTATTTATAGATCCGAGGAATAACCGCCGGACATGCTGTAGACCTCCTTTTGCCTTCAACAATCAATAAGTCTCTTAAACAATCAATTCATGTCTGATCAGTATATTGAGAAATGTTAAGTTTGGTATTACGTTTGTCTGTTTCCTCTCCTCCTCTGTGATGTTGGGTATTAAATCGGAGGAGACAGGCGGAGTAATCACTGCTTTCACGCTGAGACCATAAAACTCAGACACCTGGCACCAGGTTTCTGGCAGCCTGGCAGCACTATGGGGGTCTGCATCCGTTCCCACCTATGTCTCACTGTGTGTGTGTGTGTTTGTTGACCTTATTGACCCAAAATAAGCTCTGGTGAGCACATATGCTTTTTCACAGATGGCCTGCCTCATAATAACAGGAGTGCACAAATTCATACTTAGAAGCTGCCCGCTACGCCCAAAGATACCTACATAGACACAGTCTGAGTTAAGCATTGTCCTCAAAGAGACCTATAAGTTTTCCCACAAAGCCAAACCCATGATCCCTCGCTGGCTGAACAACACCAAGCTTATCTAGTGTTGTTATAGAATAAAATAATCTATAGCTTAACCTATAGACATCCAAATTACACATAATTAGCTTCACCGAGAGGTTATGTTTTTATCTGTTTGTTTGTCTGTCTATTGGTTAGTAGGATTACGCAAAAACTACTGCACGAAACTTGATGGAAGGATGTGGTATGGGTCAGAGAAGGACCCATTAATATGGGGGTGCATCCAGGTATTTTCTTTTCAATTTTTACGAGATTCTTTGATGTTTTCCTTGAATTCTCAGAGAACAATTCATGGGTCTTGATGTACAAATATCTGTCATTTTTAGGGGATTGAAGAGTGTGTGCAGTCTGTTGCAGATTACACTACAGATTTAGATCTAGTGAATTCAAATGTGGTTTCATGAGGGGACTTACTGAGTGTCTGTCTAGTTTACTTTGTGCAACAAAGTCCAGTTATTCATTAAGGGTCATGGGAGAGATGGAGCCAATCCCAGCTGACATTGGACAAGAGGCGGGGTACACCCCTGACAGGTTGACAGGTCATCACAGAGCCAACATACAGTGACAAACAATCATTCACACTCAGTTTGGAGTCTCAAGTTAACCTGACCCCAATCTCACTGTTTTTGAACTGTGAGAAGGAGCTGAGGTACCTGAAGAGAAAACCTGGGGAGAACGTGCCAACTCCACACAGAAAGGCCCCGATGGAACCGATGCCAACCACTGCACTGCTGCTCTGGATGGAAATAGTGAGTGGATATAGCAACGTTTTTTTACTTTCATATTTTTATTCTGATTAAATTTCCTGACAAATAATGATTATTACCTCAAAACATGACAAGAATTCCAACAGAGGAGAACTGGACCCTGCAGGTTTGATGGGATGATGCCGCACAGAACCACTTTGTAAACTCTTGTTCTGTAGGATACAACAGAGATCAGATCTGAGATTAATTCTCCCAGTAGCAGTGTAGGAGCAACTCTGTACCAGCACCTGTATCCTGGAAATCTATTTCTAATCTCTTGGCTGAGGCAGCAACGAGCAGAGACACCGGAGGGAGCGTAATTAAAAATGCATGCGTACAGATGTACCTACACTGCACTCATTTCCACACTGTCACTAAATACACACTCAATTTTCCCCAGTCTTACTTGACTCACACAGTTTGACATGTACGCACACACAGACCACTGGAAGGAGACAGAGAAATCCCTCAACAGCTTGGCATTCTCCATCCAACTGTCGGAACTAAAGCCTCCAGCAGGAGGGATTTACTCTCTTTACTTTGCCAATACATATGAGGTTTTAATTTAAGTACACATGGCACATATGAAACACACAGAAAAATATTCATTCACAGACCCCGATATTGCCACAGGGTTCCTGTAAAGCTCCAGAGAATCCCTGGCCTTTCGGTTCAAAGCAAAACCATCATATGTAATTGTGGAACATAATGAGCTTTGTCTGCTTCATTCTAAAGCCTCATAAATGCATTTATAAGACAGGGGTGCTGGACAATACAGGGAGCATGAAGATAATGAGAGCGACTAAAGAAACACAGACCTGCAGTCAGACGCAGGCGGATATTTCTTTAGATCTAAGCAGTGCAGGGTTTTAGTCGCTGTTTTCGGTAGATGAAATTAACAAAGACCTTAATTTGTTTTATTTTCCACCTTAGAGGTGAGATGCAATGGTCCTAATGCAACAAACGCTGTTGTGTATCTGTGGTGCAGCCAGTACAATCTCACTTGATAGCCCGGTGCATCAGTTCTCATGGGAAGCAATTCTTAGCCCTGCTCTGTTTCTGAGGAACCTTTTCACTGGGTGCAAAATGTAAGCAGTGTTTCTGAATCAGCGTCCACAAAACAGTCTCACAGACATGCCATCACCATAGCAACGGCTATGCCATGGGCTGTCTGTTTCATATCCAAATGAAGACATCAGAAGATAGCTATAAGAGACATCCAGGAGTAACTGTTACAGTATATAATAAAACGACAGTGCCGCCATCAAATCAAGCACTTATATTCCAATGTTTGATTCTCCTCCACAGTGGCTTATACAATAATGCATTGCCAGAGTTTTATCCTAAAAAATTTTTTTCTTAGGCAATCAGTTCCGGGCCTCTGCTCTTAGTGCTGGAAACTTGAGTAGGGCTTCCTGATGTTTCCTCCATGTTGTCACTGTGCTGCCCTGCCTGACACACAGCCTGATCCTACCCCATTAGTATGCACACAAGGCTTTGATGCAGCTGCTGATGGCAGAGGTGTAGAGCGGAGGAGACGAAGAAGGATGCATGTCCACTCAGTCAAAGAGAGGCAAGACAGTACACAGGAGGAGGATGGAGGGCTTCTGCCACAGGGACAAATGACAAACAAAGAAAATCCAATACTATATGGACTTAAAGGAAAGTGTGCTTTTTTTTTTTTTTTTTAAACTCTATTAGGATTTAAAAGCCACCGCATAGCAAATTGTCACTGTATTTCTATTTACTGCAAATCGATATGGTGACTTTATTTCCCTGTGGAACTGAGATGGATCTTAACGCAATTTTTCTTCTCTGCCTTTAATTTTTTTGCTCTCACTCACTCCCTCTCCCTCCATTTCACTTTCTACAGTTGCAGTATTGGTGAGAAGCCAATATGCTGTCACTGGAGCGTCGATCCATCACTCTGACAGTGCCAAAGTCTCCAGTCTCATGGGACCCCCTATTTTCAAACAATGCAGAGGTCAAGGAAGATGAAGTTGGGCAATTAAAATTGACCTCTACGCTGACAGAACTGGGCCAAAAAGAATGCTTTTAGAATGGACAGGCTTGCAGGTGACTTTTCCAAATGATTTTATTCAACTTCAACTGTGCTTTTAGGTTTAGGTTACTCCTGCTTATTTGCATTTCAAAATTCTTCAACTAACTTTTTTGAGGTATACTATACAGAGTTTAAATTGTATGATTACATTTAAATGTCTTACACCACTGTGAAAAGCAGATAATGCAAATTCATAACAAGGAGGGGGGGGGGGCAGCTGACTCAGTAACAACAAAGCTCACAAAGGGAGAGGGTCAAGCTGCTGCGCCCCTGTCTCCCCTCCACTGCTGTGGGAACCCTGGCACCAGCACATGCTGCAGGGTATAGGCCCTATACTTCAATGGCTCCTTCCCAAACACACACACACACACACTAAGACAAGTCTTTGTTTCAGCATGTTCTCACACTCCATATCACTATAGCTGAGGAGATAAGCTACTGTGCATTGTAGGATTGTGGTAAGATGCCACAATCGCCTATACTGTCATATCATTGGGTCATTAGGTGACATCATGGATCAATTGTGTTCATTAGTTTGGGAGACAAAATAAAGAACACAAAGTTGTGTGGTTAAAGTTTTTGTGGTGCAAATAATTCAAGGCCAAGTTTCTCTCCTGTCTTCATCAGAATAGCAACTTAATGTTCGTGCATTTAATAAAAGTGACTTCCTTTGTGTTGTGACCTCAGTAACAGGTGTGTTATGCAGCAGCTGAAACAACAGAGCCCACTTGGCAAAGGTGACCCCCAAAACACACACTTTACCTGCTCTCTCAAGCCTCTGTGACTCGTGTGTCTCACTCATCTGAGTCTTCACCTCAGACATCTGCCAACCCCCTGACCCTCATGCAAATATGTTAGACGGAGCCTGTGGATGCTATATCCCATAAGCAGTTTTTTTGAGCTGCACTCTGCTACTGGCCAGTGATGCTGCAGGTTATGTAAATGTTACACTACATTTTGGTTGAACCCACTGTCACAGTGCCAATTGTTAGGGCTGCAGCTTGTGCAACTCATTCATATTTATCAAATGAAAAACTGAACATTGCAATAAGGTTGCATAGTGCACAGATTTGTCTCGTGCTTTCTTTGCCCCCCCTCTAGCAGTCAGTTCATATCTATAGACTGGAGATTGGTTCACAATAATCATATACTGTGCATATACACTGACTGAAGAGCGCAGTGCCCTTGCAAATCGAACAGCCTAACATATTTTGATAAGATTAACCCAACGCATACGCTGCAGATAAACGCTGAGCAGACATCGATATAGGGACATTTTCCAGGATCAATTTTCTATCTAAATCAAATCTTAAAGCCATAAAAACAGTTTTTTTTATTTTTATCTCTATAGTCTGTAACACGCGCTGCACGAGGACCCCCAGCAGTGGAGGAATAACATGTTATTGTTTCATTTCATCTTCAGGTCATTTCTAAAAACACACAAAACATTGAATAATCTTTATTTATCCATGCACCAGACTGAAACATATCTATAAAGCAAAATGCACAGGAATAATGTACAGTGCGTATCAACATTTCAGCACATGCATTGAATAAACATCGCTCTCACCTATACGAGCACGCGCGGCTGCTGCAGGCTGACCCGGTGTCCGCAGCTCCAAAGAGGACGCGTGAGAGGCTTGCACGCTGTGTTTAAAAGAATAAAAACAATCAGACTCATCAAGCAGAGTAAATCCTGTCAATCTGTAGCAAACGCCCCTCGGTGGGCTGTAAACATGCGCTCCGCTCCGGGGCTGCAGGAGGAGGAACAGGGTGCTGCAGCGGCGCACAGGCTCCAGTGAGCAGCAGCTGCCTGGTGCAGGTCAGCTCCACACTGACTCTGACAGCGGTGCAACCTCCCCATCTGTCATCAGCACCATGGGAACTGAAGTCCCACCCTGAGCGACCCACCAGACACGAGGTGTTAGTAATGGTGGAGCCAGAGACGTCTGTTGTTGATCTCTTATAAAACAAAGTGTCTCTATTATAACTCGTAAGTTTATCCAACATTAGTTTAAAAAGAAGAAAAAGAAACTGAAAGTCTCTTTGAGGAGAAGATCTACAATGACATTTTGGTGCCACATGGACTCAGAGTTGATATAAATTTAATGACTTGATAATTAATAATTCATGATAATTATGAAATGCAATGGGCTCTAAAGTGGCTCATAAGAGTGTCTCTCTCTCTCTACGCACCCCCCCCCCTATCTGTCAAACACACACACACAGTCATGTCTCCATGACTTCAGAAGACAATACATTGGCTTAGATTGATTCCCTCTAGACTTTCTCTATACCATAGTTGCCTAACCCTTAACCTAACCCAAACCCAGACATTCCAACTGAATCATTTACACCATGTTTTAAATGTCATGGAGTGATCCACGCGGAACATGGCTCCAGAGGAGGATATTAGAGGATAACTAGGCTAAAAACATGGTGCAAATTTAGCTTTGAGTTGAAATTTAATGTCTCAAATACTTCATCCACCCCTCCATCGGCAAAGTGGTGGATGAATTTAAATTTTTGGGTGAACTATCCCTTTAACCAAACCTTAAAACATGTAAAATCTTAAGATTTAATGTTGCATAAACCTAACCCCTAACCCTATAGCCTCGCCAAAACATTATACTTAACCTTATTTCATGCCTAACCCTAATGTTGACCTAACCACAATTCTCACCTTAACTGAAATGATGTTTTGCCTCAGAACCAGGCCAACCTGTGAGGTCTACTGGTCCTTACAAGGTCAGTGTTTGTTCCGGAAAAGGTCCTAGAGAGGAGACAAAAACAAGTACACACATGCAAGCTTCCACGCACACACGCACACACACACACACACACACACACACACACACACACACACACACACACACACACACACACACACATACACACACACAAACACACACAAACAACACTTCAACAGAGAAGTCTGTGTTGAGAGAGAAAGATGTCTTTTCTCTCTGTCACGTCTTTTGATTCTTCCTCCTCCTCCTCCTCCTCTCTAAGGGGCAGTAGAGAAAATGACAACGTTTCATCACTTGTTGTGTGAGCTGCTGCTTTGGGAGTTGTCTGGCTGGTTCTTCATCCACGCTGCAACTACAGAGAAGAAACGTGCATCAGCTCTGTGTTTTGACAACAAAGTGTGAGCCAGGCAGGCAGATGTCATGTGCAGGTTTTAACTCACAGATGTGTGTACGTTTTTAACCGAGAAGCAACACAGGTCCGACTTAGTCTGTCTACACACCAATATTTAAGGTTTAAGAATGCAGAATTTCATTTGACTGGATTGCTAATGTAAAGAAGTAACTCTGACTATTTGGAAGGTACATGCAGTATTTATTGCATCACCCTGGTGTGATGATGTCTTTAGGGACCTGCACTCTACACTGACAGATTATGAGATGATGGGCCCCCAGGGATGGATGTGTCTCCTTACAGCAGAGTCACAGAGCCCCATGTTACATGCTTTTAATATAGAGCAGAGGCAGAACTGTCCACAGGAAAGCCACAACGCACAAACAATCCCTAAGGGATTATTAGACATCTTCAATATGAACTTTTGGGCTGTTGTCTTTCTATAGGATTTGAGCTGCTTTCCTACCTGCACTGGACTGTGGTTAATTTTTAGAAATTATCCGAAGGGGCTGTCTGTGAGAACACAAATGTCCAAGTCAGATGCCATGGACAATCTTTTTGGTAGTTTTTCTTACCAGCCTGGTATGTCTGAATGTCCTTATGATGAAACAGCAGGAGATTATCTAAGGAAACACAAAACTGAAAATAACCCTAAAATATAACAGTATTATGTTATTATCACTCACATCCAACATGAGCAAAATTCTGCAGGTTGATGAAAAGCACTTGCTGCCTCAGGTGAATCACTACCTTCTTTTCCATAGAGGTGACAGTGCCAGGCCTTGTACGCGTGAGGCTGCTGCACTAATCATCTTGTGTGGGAGTGAAGTTGAGCCATCTGTCCTCCACTGTATTGTATTCCTCGAACACGGAGACTCAGGCTTGGAGACCTTCAAGACCTTCGTCTCGTTGGATCAATCAGTGATTCTCCCACGCTGCTGCTGTCTGACTCATGCTACTGTATAGACGGCACAGATCTTATCGTAACCTTCTACCCATGGCAGCCTGAAACTTTTTCATAACAGAGCACACACAGATAGTCCAAAGCTTTAGTCGTCTTCTAAAACCACCAATAAAGTGCCTGTTTACTACATGAGATTATTTTGGCCTTTTCCCCGTAGTTGGAAAAGTGATTTTTAGGGAGTAATTTCTAATGAATGTTGAGTAAAACCTCTCAAGATACAAATGTATTTGTGAGGTTTAATTTGTTTTAGCCAAGGGCCGACTGGATCTTGTTTAAAGACCTGTGTGGTGTTTAAAAGCTGCTCTGTGGGTACTGCTCGTATCCTTCTCCAACCACGGAGAGCTGAAAGTTTATTCAGCAGTCACCCTGTGTGTGTTGGTTGCATCCGGCAAATCATAATTTCCCACCATTAACCTGCAGTGCTTGTGGTGCAGTTGCCATGGCAACAGTTCCCTCCCAGGAAAGGCAATGCAGCACATCCACCGGTTTATTAGATCTCTGATCACACAGCTCCCTCCACATGGCCATCTGGGAGAACCAGTAACATGCCCCCTGTTTTACCTTTCGCAAGTCTTCTCATCATTCTGCCGCATTACACTGAGCCGAGGAGGAAGCAAGGTGTCATTTTTCTTGTCAGCGCTTGTTTTCGGTCATAGATGGGTAGAATATTAAATACAAAGTGTCAGGGAGTGATGGGATGGAGGTTGGAGGAAAATAAAGTGGATGCTGAGAAGGCACACACGCATTACGACTTCACTGCAATTGAACGGCTAATGCCTCGAGAAGCCTTTGTCAAAGATTTTTAACACAGGAGGAACAGACAGTTTCATTTGTGAGGTAACTGTATACATATACAGATTTTCTTGATTACACCTGATCTTGAGGAGAACAGCTTGATGCCGTCCTCAGCTGTAACTGGAACAGATGCCTGCCTCTAAGCATTTAACACATTTGCCACCTTGTCGTGACATAATGTCACTATAACACCATTCTCAGGCCAAGATGCACATGATAAACACTGTCACCTTTCGGGGAAAAGTGCTAATACAACACTTGTTTCCTTTTCCCTGAACTAATACTGATAGTTCACACATTTACACTTATTTGCTTTCTTGCCAAGAGATTACAAGATCAATACCACTCTCACGTCTATATTGTTTTATTAGCTTAGCTCAAAGTTTAGCCTTTATTTGTACAAAGTTATATGAATAATGATGGCCAACGCATCTCAACTTCCTCTCACTATTAATTTCTTGACCAGATATCAAAAGCACGATCACTTCTCCTCTACTTTAACTTCCCTTTACTCAATGTCTGTGATTTAGAATTGATTTTAAATATTGCTCTTGACTTTCGAGGCACTGCATGGTTTGGCACTGAGCTACTTGGCTGTGCTTCTAAATCAGTACTCACCAGCCCATAGCCTGAGATCTTCTGATAAGGACCTGTTTGCTTATTCCTTATTCAAGGCTGAGGGGGCCCTGTCTCGAGGGTGATAGCCTCCGCTGTTAGGAATAAGAATGTGTTATTATTATTGTTATTATCATATTATTATTAGGCAAGGTTATAATAGAATACTATCTAAATGACCTTTCTTTACCAGTTCAGTTTAGATGTGACAATAACTCACTAAGTGTTATGATAATAGAAATAGAAGCTAAACTACAGTTAACATTGTTGTTGCTTGTGTCTTAAAATAGAATTATAAATTTATATTCAGCTGCAGAAGTTCGATAATTTGATTCTGACACAAAGATAAATTAAAACACAGAGATAGTCTCAGCTACTGGCCCACAGTTTGAACTCAAGGCTGTATATTGTATTCTGCATGTGTGACATGAAATGCACATGTCAGACATTTCTGGAGTAGTGTGTGTTTTTTTTGTAGAATGTTTTTTCATGCTGTCTACAAACTATGTCAATCATTACCTGCACTCTGTAGAAATGTAGGCCAGTCCTCTTCCAGTGGTGCTGGCAATGAATGTTTACGTCCAGTTTTACAGCCAAGGCTCAAGGTGAGCGCCAGTGTGAAACGCCTCATCGGAATCGGTCTTAATAGCCACTGAGGTGATGAGATCCTGACTCCTGTTACACATGTCACTTTGCATTAGTGTCCACATTAGAGCCTGCCACTCCACAACCAATCACTTAACAACAAAATCAACAGATCCCTTTATAATTGCTCCTGAGCAAAGCAATTTAGCCGAGGCTCTGGGGGATTGACTTTCATTTGGGTTTGTCAAACACCGGCCCTGCTTGATATATTTTGGCCCAATGGAAAATTAAAATAGGTTCTGAAGCATGTGTGTGTGTTTGTGTGTGTGATAGCTTTCTGCATTCATTTGCTTTATGCAAAAAATAATTAATAAAGGTTATTGTTCTTGGGTGCACTGCATTGTGATAGAATATAATGGTGTAGTAGAATAATAGCGTCATACTAATTAATTTTATTTATCATTCTTATAATTCCTCTCAGAGAAAAAAATTAAACAGCCATGTTTTTTTTCTTCCACTTAATTCACAAAATAAACCATTAATATTTAATCGCCATGTGGCATCTCCATCTTTTACATCACTGATGTTTTGCCAAGGAGGAGAAAACTGCTCTGACTGCTGAAAGCAGTTTGGAAACGTCACATTTTAGAAGCAGAAGGGAAAGTGCAATCAAGTTCAAGTATTCCTGAATAAATTCTCGTCCATGCCATCCATTGCAACGTAAG